TTTTTGATTTTTATTAAAAATTTCCTTTCGGTCTTTTTATTTTTTTTTTTTTATATTTTTTTATATTTTTTAATTTTTTTTTTAATTTTTCCTTATTTCTATTTTCTTTTTTTATTATTTTTATTCCCCTTCCATCAGATTTTTTATTTTCTTTTATTCCCCTTCTACTGGACTTTATTATTTTTATTCCATTTTTTTAAGTTTTTTTTATTATAAAATAAGTAATAAATAAAAATAAATTTAAAAAATAAACGCATACTAATGGCGGAGTAAACTATCACGTGATAAATACAAAATTTGGCATCATACTTTACCGTACTGGTCCTATAATAGGGCATAGTTATTATAGGATAAGTACGGTATGGTACGATTTTGCAGATCAGTAAATTTGAATCGTACTGGCAGTATATATAAAGCTTTATTATAGAACGGTACGGTACGATTCAAATTTTGCGAAAAGATACTGATCTGCAAAATTGTACTGTACCGGTCTAGCAAATCGTACCGTACCAGTTTTCCATATACTCGCTTCAGCGTCGCGTTAGATTTGTAGTGTAGATCAAGTTCACATTTTTGTTAAACCATCGGTTGATCAGAAATTTGATTTAGCAGAGTAAATAATTTTTTTAATTTGCTCAATGGTTGAAAAAACTTCAGCACTTTTATCAAACCATCGACGAAATTTCAGCAATGTCATAATTAAATTAAAAAATATAACAAATAATATAAAAAAATATACTTTTTTTCCCTAACTAATAATCAAAGACATTTTGCATTTTCACTTTCAAATAATTATATATTGTTAAATCAATTTATTTACCAAACTAAAAAAAAAATATATATTTGATAAGGAGAGTAAGTAATTGTCCTGAGCGAAGCGAAGGACTATATATTTCTGTGCATTGAATAAATTTTGATCATGTGAGCGTTTCTCTGTCCGCCACGTGATTTTCGTCCAAGGATTCGCTCAGGACTCACAACGGTCCCGTTTCCTCGTGTATGTATTAAGATAATGTTGATTTTCATTTAATAATATTAAATATTTTCATTTAACCTATAAAGTTCTAACCATACTAAGTTGAAATTTACACGATAAAATTTGTTTCTAACAGGTTGGTACTTGAATCTTTACCTTTATAGAATATCTTAGGTCTCAATTCTCAAACGGAATAACCATCTATAATTATTAGCAATCATTTGTCAAGGAGATTTCTATCACCAGTATTGTCATAGAGACAGATAGGATATTTGGAACGGATCGCCATCTTTATTTTCGCTCAATCACGTACGAGAGAATACGTGAAAGATCAAAAAACTCGAATTTTTAGAAGCTAATAAAGGATATATTATTGAATTGTTAATTACAACAGATTTCAAAGTTTGAAATATATGCACTACACATTTTGCCGTCACGAATTATTTTGTTGAATTAATTAAATCATTATTCCATTTGTGACACATTATTAAAAATAATATTTGGATATAATATCTTTGACCTTCTATAAATTAAATTAAAATAAAATATAAATGAAATTAGTCTTTATAGATCTTGAATTAATGTTAAAAGTACTCGAGAATATTTGACATACCATAAGTATTATACATTCAAAAATGGATACGTAGTCTAGAAATTTTGCATCAACGCATCAACCTTAGATAAACCGATTTTTGCGCAAGAAAAATTTGCGATTTCAAATCGAGATATTTCTAAAGATTTACAAAATGTTAGACGAGAAAAAAAGTAGAAATAAAAACAACAATGATTAAATTATTACCTGAATCGTATATTTAGTTCCTATCTGAAACGTAAAAGCCATATTGACGATTATATTTTATGAAAAAAATTAAACAGGCTTGAATTTAAATTGGTTAAATTGAAATAGAAATAAATAAAATTGTTCGATGATAAAATCTAATAAATATTATAAAACGTTAGTAATATTGTAAATTAGAAATTTAAAAATTGTCGCCTGAATGTTACCTGGATAACTTCTACTTAATAATATATACGTTGCTGGAAAAATATTATGACGTCTCTGCGACATTTCTTGGTGTCCGCTTTATTTGGTTACTCGCTTCATTCTTTTTTCTTTATAAATATACTTTCAGGCATACCTCAAGTACCTATAATAATTTCATTCGTATAGATCTATAAAAAGCAAGGGCTCGTTGAGAATAAATTACAATAAATATAAACAAGTAAAAATTAAGAAGATGGCTGGACGCAAGGATATATTAATATAAATTTCTTTTATAATAAAGGAAGATACATATCCTGATTCTTTCTTCCCGAATCAGTAGACCCTTATCAAATTTATATAGATAGACCCCATGAAGCTTAATAAGGACGTACTTAAAAAACGCATCCACCTTCGGAACCCATAAGGGTAATACCCCACCCCCACTGACACGTAATCAACAGGTACAAGAACCTGGCAATGCCCCATCTTCCTAAATTTAAACTCATCATATTTACCTTTTTCCTTTCTAGTAGTTCACAAATCTCTTGTAAGGAGCTTCAAAAAAAAAAAGTGCAAGACGAGCCTTATCTATCCTTCTCTGCATATTTGTAAAATTCAAAGTATTTTATATGGAATATTTTTCATAAATTTTCGGATGAGGTAGTCAAGAAATACAATATTAGAAAAGTTGTATGTGCAAAATTTACGACGAAAAAGTAATCAGAAAAGACGCGTCGCAAACCATCAGTCAAACGGTCACCTATATATATGTTAAAAAAAATGCTACGCCACAGTAAACATTTCCAACCAATAATAAATAGTTCTATTTTTAAATATTGAGTCAAATTATTTAATAAGACGATTCTAACATTTATTATTTAAAATTTTACTATTAATTTACAGGATTAATTTTTGTAATACTTGAATACAATTTCGTATCACTTGAGATTTTGCTATTAAAATCACCCTACGGGACATTGTTACACTAATTTATTAGAAAATTCAATTTTTAAAAGAAAATTATTTTTTATATTTATTTTTTTAAAAAATATATATATTTGCTGTGGTATTAAATAGCTCTCATTTAATCACACATTCAAATAATGGTTAAAGCTAAATATTTTGAATTTTATAAGGGTCCGAAACTTTTTTACTTTTAAATAATAATGTCGATCATTTCTAAATTTTAATTTTAGATTTTTCGACTGATGTTACACAAAAATGAGAAATTTTTGACGGCCTTATTGCTTGCTTTGTTAATAATATAATCGATTATAAAAATTTAACCAAAATAAAGTTCATATATCATATAATAATATGAATCAAAATCTCAATTTTGGTTGGTGAGGTCCCGTAAGGTGATTTTAATAGCTTAGCTCCCATATGACGATCATTATTTTTTAAACCTTAAAAAGTTTTTACAATATAAAAATTACAACTTTATGAGTTTTTTATTTTCTAGACATCACAACATACTACTTTCCGTTGACATCTATTTGAAAAATACTTCAGCCTTTGCACTTTTATCAAATCCGTCAACATGGTCGACGTCATTTCCTCAATTATTTTTAGAAAATTAACCCATCACATTTAACAATGGTATATTCAAAGTTGTAAAATGAAGCGAAAGATTCAATTACAAAAATTTTATAAGTAAAAATCACTCGTTAAAATTAGCATATTATAATTCATATTATCCATATATCTGGGGATTGGATTCGATCTAAAAAGTATAATCAATTTTAGGAGATTTATATTTCTCGAATTTCGATTTTAAAATTCGATTTTTTTCAGGTTAGATAATTTGATTTTATGGTTGCTGAGATTTTTTTTTTTTTTTTTTTTGATAAAAATTTAAATGCAGACGTTCATAAAAAAAAAAAATTATTTGATTTGTTAAAAAAAATTGCATTACCCAAAAAAACAAAAAATCAGATTCTTTTTGAATATTTTGACTCTTTTGGATCGAATGAACTTTTTAATATATTTCGGGGTAATTTATTTATTTTTTTTTTTGCTTTTAGATTCCTCATCTCTTTTGGATACGATCACACGGTAAGGATCTTATTATATTTTCAATTGGTTTTTTATTTTAATAAATTCATTTGTCTTTTTTTTTCGCTTTTTACATGGCATTAATTAAATAGATAGATAAGAGTTTCTATTTTGCTTAGATTTTTCGTTTTCATATATATATTTATTTTTGCTTTCTTTTTTTTTGTTTATATATTTTTATTTTTGCTTACTAGATCTCCCTTTCGAGTTCGGTTTATAATTGGTTTTCGATTAATCGATTTTATTCAAGTATTCGATTCATCGATTTTGGTAGAATCCCTACATATATCAATATTGAATTTGTAGTTGGATGATATCCTCATTTTTAATGTCTTTTTACGTAATTTTCTTTTTTTTTTTTTATTAAATTAAATATTTATGTAATTGATCAAATAATAATTTGAATTATTAATTATAAAAATCTGATTACAAAATAAGATCAGATGTCTACTGTAGCAGGAACTTATAACGAAGATTTACTGGTATGTGATGTAAACTCGATAAATACACCGTACTTTTTCAGAAAATATATCACATTTCAAAATGAATTGGAATTTGGTTTTTTTTTCTGATTTAGGATAAAGTTACTGTACATAAAATCGTCTTGATAGTAATTAAAAATAAAATACCAAATTAAATTTAAAATAATTAAAGCCTTACCGTCTTTTTTTTAATAGATTCAAATTATTAATTATAATTCTTATATAAATCCATTAATAATTCTTTTCGTCTCCTCATCCAACTTTCCTTCAATCATCCATTTTCTTTTCATCTGCTTATTACAGAATAATTCATAAAAGGGGGAAATTAATTTTAATTCTTAAGCTAATTTGAGCACAAGACTATGATCAGTGGACCAATTAAAAAAATTTATCATAATTTTAGATTTACCCTTTTCTATTGATTGCCGCCCATATCGTTTGTAAATATTTTTAGCAAATTTCTAATAAAGCTATGAGAATGAAAAGTGTGTTCTTAGTGACTTCAACAATTGTTAGAAATTTTCTGAATAAAAGATTCTACATTATCTTTGATTGGAATTTCCTAAAAGAAAGAAATCAATATCAAATGGATAAATTACTTATTGCGTAAGGATAAATTGTTTCATTCTTACTTTTCCTTGCCCTTCAAAGTGTTTCAATTTTACAGAAATCCCATTAGTTTGCTTATAATTATATTCTTGTTGAGGCCATGAGAAATTCATTTGATGGGACATCCTTCGTTGTTAATACTAGGTAAAAAAGATTGTAATGAATCATGATGCACAGTCAATTGCAGCAGCAGCTTCTTTTTTTTTTAAAAAAAAAAAATTAATTTTCTTCGAAATATCCATCGCCAACAAATAGAATTACGAGATTTAAATTCTCGTAGCTAAAGAAACCAACGCCTATATCCAATACCTCATAAAATTTGACTAATATTACATTACATTGTACCCTTACGTCCATTAATACTATCGTATTACCAGTTTTTGGTATAATAATTTCATTAAGGTATAAAACTTACTCTCTATACTATATAGCGATCAGGATGTAGATGGTTGAATTTGTGCAAATCTTCCAAGCATGACGTAATTTTAGGTGAAGACTTTCACATTTTCGTGTCCAAATTCTATAGTCCTGGCTAGACACAGTAAGAAAATCCTCTTTTAAACATCAACAAAAATAAAAATCCATTAGTTATTATGTTTAAAAAATAATGTGTAAATTATATAGCAGACCTTTTTAACCTGTGTTTAACTCTGGCCTGATTGCATCGACGAATTAATCAATATGTATAACTTCATGCCTTACATTTCTGATATAAATACCAATGACATTCGCTTAAATTATTATCTGCATTTCATGCAATACCAGATACCATCCATATTATTAAATACTGATATATTTCTTGCCTACGGGATCGTGCTTCTAATATATCCTGCCTTTTAGTTTCGTTATGAAATACTGTAAGCTTATACTTCAATACTCTATGATTGTTTCATGATCACCGCCAAAATTGTCTTCTCGTAAGTGTTATTAAAAATGAAGTAATGATATAATAATTAGCTAGTAGCATTGCTAAAATATTATGATGCAAAATTGTTAGCTCAATTTTACCTCTAACCGTTCGATATGAAATTTCTTACACGAAAGATTGGTTAATGTTAAAAATATTATATATAATAAGTAAAATATTTGGAAATTCAGAAATATGCTCCATGTTTAAGAATTTTAATAATTATGTAGTACGCGACACGTTCATTTTATGGTTTCTATGGTGAGACAAGACTAATTTTGTGGTTGTATTAAATAGGTAGAGATCTGCAAACTCTCTTTCTCTACACCGGAAAATTTAGGAATTTTAATTAATTGAGTTTCCTTTCGGTAAGTACTTGCTCTTTTATTGTAGAATTATTATTTATTTATTTATTTATACTTTCCAGATTTTATTTCTATATTATCTTTGTGTAAAATCCATTATCGTTCCTGCGATGTCCTGTTCAATACTCAAACACCATCTATATTCTGATGGGAATTTTTGGTCACTGCCAGCTTACAAAAGATTTCGGCTGTTTAATACTTGGGTCTTCAAAATTGTAAGTGCAAAGTAACCAAAAATAACTCTGGAAATGATCTTAATATAACAACTAGATCTAGGTAAGTAATTTTTTTTTACTAAGTTGTGGGTTTTTTTTATCTATTTACATTTGCGATTTAACATAATTGTAATAAAGTATGCTCCATTTGTTTTAAAAAATAATTACATTTTGTATAAGAAAATCAGATGTAGAATCTAGTGCTATATTATAGTTGAAATTTCCAAACGAAAAAAAAAACACGCAACAGTTGCTTACTTGATAATGATAAAAATAATAAATATGTGGTGACTTCATTTAATAAGTAAATTGTCCTATTAAAATTTAAGAATCATATGATTTGTGAAACAATAAACACGAGATTATTAATCGACGATATCTTAATTTGATCTTTTTAAATTTTCATAATACTTTTTTTAAAAAAGATATTTTAAATATGTCGGATCTCAGAATCTGTAGAAAAAATCCCATATATAATTTTGTTCACTTCATGGTTATTATAACTTTATTACTTGATAACTATGAAAACGTTGATAAAATGGATGCTCACTTTTCCTTCTATAGAATGTCAAGTTTAATTAATGACGATGAAAAAATGTCTCAAGAAGTCCGTGATGCCGCCCAGAGACTCTTGATAAGCAAAAAGTAAGTAAAATATGCATATGATTATAGTCAGATGAGGTTTAGCCAGTTTTTCATTTTCTCATTCAATTTCTTTTATATAGACCGATGTTTCCAAAGCTAATAATAGCTTTTGGAACACTTCGTCACCTGCATCGTCATCGTCCAATAACGGAAAAAAGAGAAGTGCGACAGAATTAATAAGCACTTCATCTATAATTCCTACTATTAACACAGAAATGACATGCTTTGTTCCTGACGAAGATGTGCCTTTGAAAGCAAATGGTTCATTAGATATCCTTGAAGTGATAAAGAAAGTCAGCCGTACATACTTTTGACAATGATACTATTGAAATAGGTTCTTCCCGCTCGTATAAAAGCTCAAAACATCTACGAATAGATTATGAGCAATATTTTTTATCACTTGGGTCTTCCTTTCAACGGAAAACTTTTCATAATTAACAAAATCAAAATATACTATATGGGAGATTTGGATGCACGATCTATATTGGAAGGTTTGGAACAGAAAATAATTTATTATCTTAATTATTTATATTTGTTATTATTAAACCAGCCTTTTATGATCATCTTCTCATTAGTGAGGATAATTCACTTATTAAAGATCACGATGAAGCCATTTAAAAGATTGATAATCAATTACTTGGATTATTTCTTTCCTCCTTGATAAAAATTACAGGTTTCTTATGGGATTGTTAGATATTTGACTCGTATGTAGAAATTTTTTTTTTGGTAAATAAAAAAAAAAAAATAAGCGAATAAATTTATGCTGTTTAATTTCCTGAATAGATATATGTCGCATCATCGAAATTTGAATCTCTTTGGTGTCCCCATTAGAGCAGTGGTCATGTCGACAGTAGATGTGCATGCAGCTAGTCCTCATGCAATGTAAGTTAAAAATTGTTGATTCATTTCTTTTCTACTTTATAATAATTGTTTTTAACTCACCCTTATTTTTTTATATCAATTTGGGAATAATAATCTTTACGGTTACGGCATTTCAAATTGCATTAGGTTTATTGGCGATTTGGGTATAGATCAGCAGCTACTGGGTCGTTCGTCATTTAAAACATTTACGTTTTATTTGGGGTTATCGTACTTATAGCTACATGGTAAATTTTATTTTGAATTATATCGAGTTCTTCGTCATGCATTTAGATTTTGGATTCTTATTTATTTGATTTGTATAGGACGTAAATATTCTTGGGATTGATTAAATATGGGGACGGACAAAGCATATATTTGGACCTAGAGGTTGGAATCGGCCAAAAATTCTTTAACCCGGTTAATAACCGGTTAAAATATTTGTTAACCGGTTAATTGACCGGTTGATAATTAACCGGTCCAACCTTTATTTGGACCTATTTAGCATGGTTAAGTAAGTATTATAAAGAAAGATAACTTTTGTCATTTTTAAATTTTACCAATCATATTTATGATTATTTTTTTTAAAAACAAAAAAAAAAAAAAAGTAATTCGCGTTTTGAAGTTTATTTGGATGTGATTACGCAAGCAAATTTTATTACAAGATTAAAATATGTAATTCTTATGACCCGTAAGACTAACCGATGATTTATCGGAACGTATCCGTGCTTGTATTCCTCATAAATTTTATGAACATTTACCCGCCATATCATGGAGCGCATGTATAATATTTAATGGAAATTTTTTTTTTTTATAAATTTATATTTTTATAAATTATTAATTAATTTAATGTATTTAATATAAGGGTTATGACAGGAGCTAACCTGTTATAGCGGAAGGGTTAGTATTTGAAATCCATAATAGATTCCAATACATCAGATGGACAAAAGATCTTACATCGTGTCATTGCGACAGATATTACCAACGACTTCTTTTTCGATCCATCAGTTGTAACAGTAATTAATCAGAACTTTACGTAAGCATCATGAAATCAACCTCATACACCGACAAGCATATCAGGTGCTAACGAACAAGTCAGAATAATAATTAAACAAAATTTATTCATTGGTCATTCTGTTAGAATGTTTTTTCCGATAATAATAAAAATGATAAAAATATACAAAAAAAAAAAAATCACATCTACGTAAAATTTATAATTATGTGAGTTACTACTATATATAGGAAGTTACACAGTTTGCATAGTGATGCCGACAGCCCGACAACCCGACAGAGTGACAAATTTTTAGAATTAAATAAAGAAACATGCACTGAATATAGAAAATTATTATTTTTATTCATTAACTTAAAATATTATTAAAATTATTAGTTAAATATAAAGCATACAAAAGATAATTAGCCGAGTTATATCATGAAGTTTGCGCATAATTCTTTCCTTGTTGTAAGATTAGCCCTGAACAAGACTTGCCGATTTTACGCATATTTTTCTATTTAAGGCACGCAAGTTATATTGTCATTTTTTCTTTTAAAATAAATTCACTTATTTTTTCTCATTAAAAATAATTTCAATTATATTTTGATTTCATTTTAAGATGTCTTTGAAAAATTCATTGATATTGTAACGCGCAAAGAATAGAAAATTCTCGAATTTCATTAGTGGCTATTAATTGCGCTACAAATTGTTGTGTTTATGGTTGATGATTAAATCATGACAAAGTTTCTTCCAAATAAGAAGGTGTATTCTTGGTGAAATGGTTAATTCATTAATTATAGCAATTTACAAATGCATTGATCTCATTATTGATGTTTGTATAAACATAATAAATTTATGATCAGATATGTATCTCAAACCTCTTTATCAAAATTCGATTTCATAGAATTCATGATACTCACATGGTGGTTGTGGGGCAGGTGGAGGCGTTTCTTCGCGACCGTTCCATCCTGTATCTGAGATGCTAAAAAATAAAAATGATGTGTAGGTATGTGAGTGAGCAAGCAACGATATTTAAATATCATTAAAATAAGAAAATGTCGGACACATAACAACAATATTTTTATACCATCAAGGGTAACGTAATAATTTTGCTTTTAAAAATAAACCTACCGGTCCATCGATCACGACGACGCCTCATGATTACGATCTTAATTTAAGCCCTCTCCTTCTAGCCGAAACACACGTGATTTCTTGAAACCTGATATTATTCGATTCTATAGGAATTTTGGTTATCTGATCGTATAAATATTAGAAACCTTCACAAATTGTATCCGAAAAGAAAGTAGTATTTCATCCTTTTGGCGATAAAGGAATTCAAGCCGGACTAGTATTACAACCCCGGTGTACTTACTGCTCTTGAATGTGTAGTTTCGAGTAGTGTGTTCAACCATTAACTCACAGGGATCGGGAAGTAATTTATTACAATTTAGATGTATAATCTTTATATCCAATCGTTGTGACTTGCTCGCGCATATCATTAATCACATCAATTTCATAGATTTTAGGAATCTTCAATGCTTATAATAAATCATGCACATATCAGCATGTTTAACAATGGTTGTATATGTTTTGGGCAGGAGGTGGTGATTCATTTCTTGACAGTTGCTGTGTTTGTGCTAATAAGAATGTGACCGGTCTTGGGCATTACTTGCAGCTATTTAGGAAAGAAAAAAAAAGAGTATTTCTTTAAACCATTGTCATCAGTATATATAGTTTCATATTACCTAACGTTCTACATAAACTTCCAAAGTCAAAATCTTGTTTATTTGGATTGAGTAACTTCTAGTATAATTTTCCATTCATTATTAAAATAATCTAACTTTATGATTGTAAGCAAATGCAAATATGATAGTCGCAGTTTCATTATCGGGGAAGGAACTTGCATAATAATTACAATCAGGTCGTTATGGAGGAAGTGACGTGACACAAGTTGGCGGAATTTTTATGTAGATACTTTATTTTTTATTTATTGAAAATCGCTTAAATAACTCGCAGATTATCTTTGAAAAAAAAAAACAAATATTAATAGTTGCCGATTTCATTATTTATGTTCCTTGTCTTATTCTTTTAATTCGCAATGAATTAATAATGACTAATCATTCCCTTAATTTCTACTGAAGTAATCAACTTCGATGAGTGTGTTCTAATGTGTATCATTATAAATATCTTATCTTTACGATTCTTGTATATATACCTATTAATCAACATTTAACTTAAATATAAAGGATCATAAAAAATTCGATTCGATAAATAAGATTAGATATAAAATTTTTCGTAAATCTATTGCTCAAGTATTAAGTCATGAACTTATTAAATATTTCAATATGCCACTATACATCGCGATAATTTGGTTGTAGCAATTCAGAAAAATGTAAAATCATAAACCTTGTAATTTGTTCAAAATTTGTTGAATAAAGAAATTTGTGTAACGTGAATAATTTAACATTTTCAGTACTTTCGTTTATGAATTTATAAACAATTTTAAATGTAATTAAAGGTTTTATTGAGTAATGTTGACGCTAAATTTATTTATAAATTAATCAGTATTGCCTCAACGTCGGCGCTCTACACTTTCGCAATGTCAATAGCCCTGTTCATTTCTAGATCGGATCGGATCGACCGAAAATTGAAATCAAAAATTATTGGCTACTGAAACGATCAG